AGGAGGAGAAGTTGCAAGGGCATTAGGCCCGCCGAATACGGAACGATAAAATTCTTACGAAACACCCGCATGTGCAGAGAGCGAAAGGGAAAAGAGGTCCTCCTCTCTGCGATTGGGCAACTCCGTGACTAGCTGGAGAATTTTGTGTCTCCGGTAAAAAGATTTAATCGTCGAAAACACACATTTCGCCATCGATTACAAATATTTTCTAAATTTTCTATGTTTCTATTTTATACTGTAGGATAGTATAAGAAGCATCATTTTTTATCTACAATTCTCTCGAGGATATAAATTCTTCTTCGCAAGTGTTAATTAATTTACAATTTTCTAGTTTCTCTGTATATTTCATCGTTGTTGATTTTAAATTTTAATATATGTAAGCTTAAATTAATTTACAATATTCGTGTTAATATTAACATTGGATTTGCTTGTTCAAATGAACGAAAATGAACAAACAGATGCGAGAAGAACGGAAAAACGACCACGGCCGGAAGTTGAGAATTCTCTCCGAGAGGATTGTCAGCTAACGCAGTGATGAGCCGTGTCGCGAGATTTCCTCGGCGCGTTTGCGCTTCGAAGAAAATATGTATCTTAATGCTATCTTTAATGATTTATTCACGGAGATAAAACAGCGCCACGAGTGCCGGCGCGATTGAGAGGAATGTAGCGAATTGAGGTCGAAGAGCGAAGTGGAAGACGCGTGAAGCGCGAGATGTATAAGAGTGTCGAGAGCTTGAAGATGTTGAAGAGCAACACGTATGTAAGCATTAATTGAATCGTGTTACGTAATTGAAAGATTTTAATAAAGATTTCGATAAACATTTTTTATAACGAAAAAAAAATTCGCACGCAGAGATATCCCCCTTTTACAGTTGCAGAACAATTTTCTACAATTCGGGACTTCGAGATATGTTCTTCAAAATACTTTTTAATGCAACAGCTTGACTTGTCAGGAGAACTGGACGCGAAATATGAACGAAATAAAATTCCGTCGACAATAACGATATGTCGTATATGTATAAGATCAATACTCGAAGGATATATAAATTGGATTGAAATTTATTCACGATCAATATATCTCTGTACGAAGTTGCTGATCACGATTCATTACCGCTATCTGATAGGATAATGTTAATCGATGATTTATAACATGCGAAAGACCGTGAAAGTGACAGGGCGACAAGTTGTTGTTAAATACGAAAGTTGATAGTAATTGAAATAAATTTCATGAATTGAGTTGAACACAACTGTATATGTTGTATGCATAACATTTACGTAATTACGATAGTAAGACGAGGTTTAGTGAGACTTTCTTTTCATCAATATTTATTTATAATTTATTTTCATTTATATCTTTTTATCACGCGCAATTTTATAATGTGATATATGTACATAACACCAAAGCTATACATATTATTACCGATGACATTTAAAATTAATTTATTCAGATATATTCTGAACTCTTTAATTTGAAATAACGACTTGTTAAGCTAAATTTGTCGATAAGGCACTAACGATTTTTCTACGCATTTCCGGCGTTACGTAATTCTTTCATCAGTAGTCCGCGCTCGTAAAAATATCGAAGTATAATGAATTCCCAGTGTATCCGGTACGTGAAAAATATGCGAGAAAATTCATCGTGGGTGGGCCAAGCAAGCGAGCGGGCGAGCAAGAACTAAAAGGTTGTCAATCCCTGTCAAGTGTAATTTTGATAGACGCGTCCACCGGAGATCGATTGGCCAAACGCGACCGGACAGATAATCGACGAATTTTTTTAATACATAACCGCGAATGGAAATACAGCGACGAAAGAAAAGCGATATCCCTCGTAAAAAAGAACTAACTATAGCAGTGACACTACTACATTTCAGTAGTGTTTTTTACTGCACTAGTAGCTCTTTTTTACTAGGGATACTTTTAAATTTGATCGAAAAAAAATAAAATGTAAAATTGGCTGATAAGACACTTTGATCTTTCTACGCATTTTGAAAAGCATGCGTTACATAATCCTCACCAATAATTCCCAAGATTTATATTAAAGTATAAAAGAATATTTATTTGTAATCGTATAAATATCTTTATGTAATTTCAATCTTTTTATATAAATTATCATGACACGCATGTATTATGTTGTCAATATTTATAATTTACTCATAAATAAAAAAAGAATCTACACGTTTGAAAAGAAAGGAAAACAAAAGTGAAACGCTTCGTGTTTTTGTACCTTTGCGTGAATAAATTAATTAAATAAAAAAAAATTAATATTTAATACGCATTAATTTATATTGTAGTAAACAAGCACGAAACAGTTGTGCCGAATATGAACGAATATTTTAATTTATTCAATTATTAATTCAAGATTAAGATTATAAATTTTTAATAGGTATTAAATGAAATTGGCGGAATTTTCACGAGATCTCTCGACGTAATTGTCTTCCTGATCATATCTTATTATCGGCAATTCAATTGTACAGGTGCTGCCGACTCGGCTGGCCCGTAGGCGGGTGCATGTATCGATCATTGATAGACGACGAAGGTCGCGATCGCATCGATAAGAATCTGCTGTTTCTGACGCGGCTACAGTATTATCGTCCTACGATTTCTTACCGAGAAAAAGACAAGGATAAATATTTATATTCAAGTGTACTTTTAGAATTTATATTTGGTATTCTTAAAGTATATTTGCATTCTGGAGATTTATATATATATATATATATATATACGTCCGAATGGATCAGGGCACGTGGAGAAGCGCCCGCTTCGACGATGAGGCAGCACAGCGAGACCCCGTGCTCTTGTGCGCACGTGTATACAGGTGCGCGCTCGCGCGCGCGAGGTTGACAGACGTCTCTCGCCTTTCTTCCTCGTGCCTGCACGAGTGTCTCCTTCCGCTTGTCCTCGTTTATGAGCCCCGGGGCTCTGAAATGTTACGGCACCTATGGAGCGGTGCCAGAAAGGGCAGCATACGCACGCTGGAAGAACGGGAGCGCTCCTCGGTGCCGCGGCGCCGATTGAATTCCTCTCTTTGATACCGCAGGCACGATACTTCACGCGTGTATCCCCGCGATACGTTTGGCATACATCCGCGCAAACGCCCGTGGCCTTCGACAGCAACGAAAAACGTTTCTTTTTAACTCATCAGAGAAAATGATAAGCAATTTAACGTGATCGAACGGATATTTCAATATAATAGAAAAGTAAATAATACAATAGCAAGCGCGTTCTGAAGGTCGGAAAACGGTTGGATCGTCTTGTCAAACACACGTTATTACGTAGTTATGTGCCTAAACGCGAGAGACGCACGAAGCTGCGTGACGTCTTCGCGTGCGTACGGCAGTTTGCGACGGCTTGTACGAAGGACGCGAGATCGCGGCATAGAATCACCGATAAGACCTGACAGGGGCGTCGTTTCTCGACGAGTTCATTAGCCAACAAAAAAAAA